CAGCATCAACATCATATCAGCATCAACATCATATCAGCATCAGCATCAATATCATACGCCCTGCTCTCGCCCCTTCTAGATCTCACTCAACCCCAGGGGATCTCTGAGAGGGGAAATCAAGGCCCTGCTATCTAGATAGAAAAATCCAGGATCTCAAGGGCTACAGCTGGATGGTTTAATGACTTCACAGCCAAGCTAGCACTAGACCAGACCTGATTCCTCATGACCCTTGGCCTACAAGAGAGGGTAGGGCTGCCAAAGGTTCTCAATACCTAGAGGTGAGAGGAGTAAGTCCACGGATGTCATACTGGAAACGAGCTGGCTCATGACCTGATTTTGAAGACCCAGCAACCAAGGAGCGGGCAGGACCAGGTCCAGGCCAGTTCAGTTCAGATTCCTAAAAGCCTTCCCCTTTTCTCCTGGTACCCACAATCCCCAGACCACCCCAGCTCAGGCTAACTCCTTTCTGGTCTGTTTCCCTATACCTCCTTCTATCTAGCCTGTCCTGCTCTGTACACAGGCCCTTGTCCTCCAGGGGATCCAGGACCCTCCTAAGACAGGATCAGACCCCCCGCCCCGATGGTCCCAAGTTGAGCTCTCTGCCTGGACACCTCAACATTAGGACTTATTTCCCCCAGAGACTTTTCCGTCAAAACCACCTGGATGCAGTCAAGACCAGCTGGGGAAACATAGGGACAGGCATCAGGGTAAAGGAAAAGTTCTCACCGAGGCTGCATGCTCTTGAGAAAGGTTGCCAGTCGAGGAAACTGTACCAGAACAGACACAGGGTCAGTAACTGGTCCCTATGCCATCTCTTCCATGTAGGCCCACCTCCCAGGTCCAGGTCACACCCCTTTTGACAAACAAGTTTGCTAAAGACTGAGGGACCGACCAGGGAAGAGAACAGTCAGGGGAGAGATGAGGAGGCCACGCCTGTCCACACCTAGAGGCCAGGGGAGGAAGGCAGAGCTAGAGACCACGAACGATCATAGGATAGGGGCCCAGAGGCTGCGTCCTTGTATGCCTGGAGCTCTCACCAGAGGCTTCAGCAGGAAGCTCAGCAGTGTTTTCAACCACTGGGGTATCTTCAGAATTAGGATCAGGTCCCCCAAGCAGGGATCCACAAAGTCGCTTTTGCTGGAAGACAAAAGGCCTAGGTGAGGTGCTCCACTCTCGCCCTCCCCTCCCTGATGACTGCAGTCCTGTGGACTCAGTGGCCCTGCCCACCTCCTTCCTCACCCAGCTCCTGTGGTATCTAGTTGCTTACTTGGCCTCTCTCCAATGCACACTGTTTCTGTTGCTCACTGGGATACCCACCCCTAGTAGAGACCGGGAGGCAGTCCTAGGGTCAGCAAGGACTGAAGGAAATATCTCCCTAGGCATTTTCCGTTTAGCACCGATGTCAGCCTACATTTAGAAATGGTGCTACATGACAGGCTGCCCAGGAAGCTTGTTCCTCATCTGGTTCAAAAGCTTGGAGAAGTCTTCTAGGAACGTCTCGTTCTCAGGGCTGGATGGAGAGGTAGTACCTTCTACTGGTGCCTAGGCAATACTCAGCTGCTAGGAAATTGCTGGGGGGAAGGTGAGCTGGCATCGTAACATATGACAGGCTGAGCAGTTGACTTAGAAAAGCTGCAGGGCCCAAGCTGAGCTACAGTGAGACCAAGGAGCAGGTTTGTTTCCTGGGCCAGCTCAGTAATAATGTCTCCAGGAGGCACCTTCTCAGGCCTCTGCAAACAGCTGGGAGGAACCGCTCCCTGGCAAGCCTCTTAAGTGAGTCTGTTCCACACACCCAACTCAGAAAAAAGGGAAATTGAGGGTTGAAAAGAAAGAATTGGCTCAGGAAAGGTTGGTGCCCATACTCAACCCCTTCCTTAACAAACAGCAGGGAAGTCCCCGCCCACCTCATCGGGAGCTTGGCTCAGAGGGGCTACGGCATCACCATCCAGCCTCCCATTATTTACACTGTTACCTTTCCATAGTCTCTAGTGAGTTATCTCCAGGCTCAACTTGCACAGCTGGAAGGACAGCAAGGTCCCTGCCCAGAAGCCCAGGTCTTCCACCTGTGCAGCAAAGGCCTGTCCTGGGGATGGGCAACAGGGCCCAGCTGCTCGCCCTGGTCTACACGTCTTTAATTTATTGTATTATTTTATGCGCCTAAGTGTTTGCTTGCACGTGTATCTATACACTGTGTGTGTCTGGTGCCTGCAGAGGCCAGGAAAGGGCACCAGATGCCCTGGAACTGGAGTTACAGACAGTAGTGAGACGCCATGTGAGTGCAGGGAACTGAATCTGGATCATCTGGAAGAACGGCCCGTGCTCCTAACCACTGAGCCCAGACCCTCTGCACATTTTTCTGACTCCACCCTACATCCTGAAGCCCAACAGCACTCACAAGTTCTGGAGGAAAGTGTGGCCACCGTCACTGAACAGCCCACCTGCGGACAGGACCTCCAGAGCGTAGGGTATGTTGTTTGGCAAGAAGGGAACCAGCTGCAGGGATTGAAGGGTACATTACAGCCTTCGGTTCCCATAACTCATATGCTGCCCCAGGGGCCATGTGGGTGATCTGTACCACGTGGTCACAAAGTCAGCCTTACTGACCCATGACATCAGGAGAGGTCTGGAGCCACACATGAAGCTGTCTCAGTATGATCAACCAAAACCCACTGGCCACAGTCCCAGGTCCCTGGGACTCTTTAGGGAGCAGTACATCGTGGCTCAGACATGGCCCAGCACAGGCTAAGTCCTCCATCCACTACTCGCCCCGGTCCCCCCACCTCAGTCATCTCTGCACTGGTCTCAGAGAGCCAAAACTTTCATCCCAGAGGGCTAAGCAGGGAATGAAGGGGCCTGGGAGGTCCATGGGTATTAGGAAGACTCCCCTGGAGGGGAGGAGATGCCATACCGTGTGGCCCGCAGCCTCGAGACTCCGCTTGGTCTCCAGCACGGCCCTCCTCATGGCTGGGCTAGGCATGGTATAGTTGTCAGTTTCATAGTAGCCCACCCGCAGGGGTCTAGAGCTTGTGTAGACCTAGAAGCAAACATTAGAGACAGGGCTGAGTGGAGAGAATGGTCCGCGCAGGATGCTTAGAGACAGAGGCCCTCTCAGTCAGCCACAGCTAAGACGTTACAAGCTGAATCCTTCTAACATGTTTCCCCTTCAGTACCACCAAACCCTTCACCTCTAACCCTTTCACAAAATGCCTTCATGCTGATTCAGAGAGAGCAGGAATGAGGGTTCCCAGAGTCCTAAGAGGGAACTAGGGCTACCCAAAGACTGAAGCCCATGCATCTTGTCTTCTGAGCTGAAGTTCTGTTAGCTGCCCTCGCTCCTGTGAGAACTAGTCCAGACCTCCAGACAGGGGCCTCCCACCTCTCCCCTCTCAGAAGGAGTTCAGGCACTGCCCTTCCCACCGCCCTAACTCCTAAAAGTACCGACAGCACTCTCCTGCCTGGGGACCCCAGCCTCTTCAAGGCAGCTTCACAGAGACAGGGGAGAGGCCAGCATGGGAGAAAGAAAGGCCGGACTGCTGGGAAGTGGAGCTTGCGTCCCATAGTAGACAGGACACACTGCTTGCGTCTGCATGCCTCCACTGTGACTACCCCCCCCCCAAAAGCTCTGTACATAAATACAGACAACCTCCATGGTTCTCCTGCTTCCCTGCCTCTCCCCAGCTCACCAAGACTCTGGGTCCTCCTCCCCTGGGCCCCATCTCTAACCGTTACATCTAGCCCAACTCCAGATTGAAAGATCCACCTAGGCAGGCCCCATCCTTCCCATCCCTCTCAGGCACTAAGAAGCGGGCTCCCCAGCTTCAGGGAGTAAAGCTGTTCAGTCCCTTCCGACCAATGGCCTATATTGGCCATATTTGGGAAGACGACACTTCATGGCTCTCAGCTCATTCAGCCTACTTGCCACAGAGCAATTTTCACTGTTTACTGGGGATATGGGCAGGAATACTGTAAGAAATGCTGCTATTTCCTAAGAGCAAATCCAACCCAGGTTCAGTTTCTTTCTGAGGAGTCTCTGAACCCAACTAATGGTCCTCAGCCACACAGGCTAAAACCCCAGAGGTTCCAAACGCAGGCACGGGCACCACCTGGTGGTCAACTGTGGAGTAACACCTGCCCCAGGCCTACCCTTGCCACAGAAGAGGGTTTTCCAGTCAAACCTTCATGCACCACCTGGGTTCTAGAGTTCACTTCTCTTGCCCATCTCCCACCTCCACCCTCCTGCCCTCCCCCACTCACCTCCTCTCTGAAGGGCAAGGGGGGAACGGTGGGGTCCAAGCGGAACAGGTCCTCACACAGTAGGGCTCTCAGGCATAATGCCAGGCTCTCCACATCCCGGGCCATGGGGCCAACAGAAAGCTGCACTGTTGGGAAGGGAAGGGAAGGAAGAGGCGTCATTTGGCCCCTAATGAGCGCTGAGTTTGAGTAAGGACTGGCCTATGGCTCCAGAGTAAAGAGCAAGAAGGGGCAGTGGGAATTAGCCTGACAATCAGATATTGCCCACAGGCAAAACAGGGGTGAAGGCAGATCAAGATGAGCCCCCACCCTCCAGGGCACCAAGAGTGTCCCAGGCCCCACTCACCTGCTGTCTGTCCATAGACACAGCCCTTCAGGCCGCTCTTGCTGGTCAGAAACACAAAATGTTGGAAACAGGCAGCAGCCACTCTATCCTCACCCAAGCCCATGCCCCAGCTCTGAAGCCCCAGCACTGGCAGAGAAACCATGCACAGCCGGTGATATTTACCCCCTCCCGCGCCCTTAACAAATACTGGCTCCTGGGCCATGCATGCATCAGGGAGTTGGAAAGGTCCCTGTGCCCACCCTACCTGAGGCGATTCCCGGTAGGCTTGAGGCCACAGATGCCACAGAAGGAAGAAGGGAAACGGATGCTGCCACCGATATCAGTGCCTAAGCCCAGAGGGGAGCCCCCAGATCCGATGAGAGCCCCCTCGCCCCCCGAGGAACCACCTGGGCTCTTGGAGGACTTCCATGGGTTCAGTGTCTGGCCAAAGAGCGGGTTACTGCAGTCAAAGCTGGAAGAAGCAGAAAAGAGTTAGCTCAGTCGACAACCGTCCTCCGCCTGCTCCCACCCCACCCAGCTCCTCAGGACCAACCTTAACATGGACTGGGGGACGTTGGTGTGCACGAAGGGCACAGCGCCCTGCAGCTTCAGCACCTGCACCACCACGCTGTCACATTCCGATGGCACCCCCTCATTCAAACTCAAGCCCAGCGTGGAGTCTTGGCCCTTCGGGGAGAGATGGGTATAAAGAAGACACCATGGTCGAGACAGGATCCTTCAGCAGCTCAGGGACGCTCCCACCATCAGCACACTGGCCAGCCCAAGCCTCCGAGGTCTCTGGACCTGAGGCATCCTTTAAGCCCCCAGAGCGGGATACAGAGCAGAGGAAGTATGGAAGGCTGACCCCAGGGAGGGCGTACCTTATAGCTGAAGCATTCCTTGAGGCTCACAGGGATGCCATAGAGCAGGCCCTGTCGTGGGGCCTGGGATAGCTGAGTCTCACAGTCAGTCAGATAGGAGGTCACGCAGTTGGTCCCCTTGTTCACTTCCCAGGCCTAGGGAAAGGGAAATGGACACAAAGCAGAGGGAAGGCAGTTCCTCTCTTTAACATTTCCCCCTTTCTACACTTCCTACAAGGGAAAGGGTAACCAGAAACACGGCTCAGAGGCAGCAGCACAGAGGATGACCTCCGGCCCAGAACCCACCCTGCTTCACCCAGGCTCTCTTAGAGAACAAGACTCGGGGCCAGGCCAGGCTAGGGAGCCGGATGCTGTCCTCAGAGGCACTCAGCAGAGGATGAGCTAGAAGACCAGTGGCCGCTGCTCCCACAATTCCAAGTTCTATCTCTGCCCAGGGAGACAGACAGGCGGCAGACAGGAGCAGGCCTCCACATCAGGTCATGCTGGGAGTCAGCCAAGCTAGACTAGACCCTGGCACTCCATCCTCTGCCCTGTGACAGGCTCACACTGAGCCAAGTCGAGCTTCCCTTTTCCCCTGGGACTCTTGAGTCCCACAGATGACTGACCTCAGTAAAGAAATAAGGGTTATACCCAAAATAATGATAAATTGACAGTAGACATCTAGACCTTCAAATTACAGGCCTAGGGTCCCAGAGGTACAGAAGGGGACACAGAAGCTGAACCTAGTGACACACTCAAAACCACAGCAGACATCAGTCACCGGGCCACACAAGGCAGGAAGGGAGGAGCCTACGCGCAACTAAAATGTACAGTTGTAAACTGGAAGTGCGAGGGTCTAAGAGGGCTTGGTAAGGCAGAGTGACCGCCTTGGCTGAGGCCTCTGTCAGTGACACTGGCCTACTTTCTCCCGCCCACTTGGATGCCGTCCCTTCAAACACTATCATCACACACCTCAGCCCTGACACTGATACTCACCTACTCAGGGTCACGCTCACAGACACAACACACTCAGAATGCATCACGATGTATAGTCTGTCTTCCTCTTTTTCTCTTACATATATTCCCTGAGCACTTCTTACGGGAAAGAGAATGCATGTGGCACTAAGGCTTTACCAGCAAATAAAACACTTTCTGTCAGGGCTGGAGAGGTGGCTTCGTGGAAGAGAACTTGCTCTTCTTCCAGAGGACTCTAGCTTAGGTTCCAGCACTCACGCCAGGAGGCTCACAGCCTGTAATTCACATTCCATGCCACCCGATGCCCTCTTTGGCCTCCAAGAGCATCTGTACACATGCACATACCCCCTCCTCACACACAAGAATACACATACTTTAAAGTTTTTAAAGAATTAAAGAACAATTCCTATCCACAGGGATTACCCATGGAGAGCCTGGGGAGGGGAAAGTCAAGCCCTGCCTGTGAGTAGACAGGGAGAGGGAGCACCCAGCAGGGCAAGGGCCTGGGAGGGCTTGCTGGGCAGCATGGAATCAATGACCTGGGAGGTGCAAACCGAGAGGGGAAATCCCAAGAAAAGGGAACGGGTGCAAAACAAGGCAGACCCTGAGCTCATTGTCTCCAGCCTCCCATGGCCTGTGCTGTTGGGAATGGAGGTCTGGACCCCAAGGCTGCTGCTGCTGCTGCTGCTCACAAAGGGAAGGAGAGCAGTCAACAGCAAGGTGGCTAAGGGGGAGGGTGGAGAGAGACAGAAAGGAACAGAACAGACTTGGTAGCCAATGAGGTGGAGGCGGGAGAGAGGGAAATCTGGGCTGGAAGCCAGGTTTCAAGCTAAGACAACATGCTCAGTGTCCACACACACACACACACACACACACACACACACACACACACACACAC